AGGCCGGAGCGCCTGCTGGGTTTCTCCTTACGCCTGCCAGGATGGGGAGCGGCGCTCGTCAAGGGGGCTGAGTTTGTGCCAGGGCCGGGAGGCGGGCTGCTGTCCTGCCATCCCTTGTCCTTTGCAACGGTGCCGCCTTTGTGGAGTCTGTTTCTTGTCTGTTGGCAAACCTCCGCAAGCACTGAACTACAGCCGAGCTGACCGAAGTGCTAGGTGTGTGGTGCTGCTGTTTGTGGGGTTTTGTTTGTTGGGGTTTTTTAAGAAGCAGTTGTGGATGTAGGTAGAAATTAATTTTCCAAATCTGTTAATCCAGAGTCTAATACTTCTACCCAAGCCTCCTCATTACTACTGCAGTTTACACATGTGAATGCATGGAAAAATCTATTGAAAAGTAGTGGGTTAGTTTACCTGATTTTGAAGTCTAGAGACTCTCTTTGAAAGCAGCCTCGTTGTTGACTGGCATTAGTGTTTTCTGACACCTTTTACAAATATGATATTTATCATGGATCTTTGAAAATTCTTTCAATTCTTCAAATTCTTCCTCTACTATACATCTACATCCAATTTTTTTACTATTGTGCTGAGTCATCCTAGGCATGACTGTCCTCTCAGTTGGGCTTGGTACAGCCTGGCAGGATAAATGACCCAAGATTCTCTCCAGAGCCCCGTGCTTTTGTAGGTCCAGGAAACATGATACTGCAAATCCAGTCAGGTTTTGGCTTAACAGAAATGAGACAAAATGTGCGATGCTGTAATTTCTCATACATGTTTTTACTGAGAACGTTCTGTGGAACACAAAGGGCAAAAAGGCGTAGCCTTGACTGAAGTGATGGGAGATTCACCTTTTGCATAAGCATGTTTTGAAGATTGATTTTATATGGTGAACAGAGACAACCCTTGAAATATTGAATTAGCTTCATCTGCCAATGTAGGCCATTATTTTAAGAATGTATTTCTCTGTTCTAGCTAGTCTGTTACAGGACACTATAAAAAGGTCTTAAATGAACAGAAACTTACTCAGAGCTTTTATAAAAGTTTTTTCTAAAAGAAAAATTTAATTTATAATTTTCCATAACTAGACCAAGGGAATAATTTAATCTGAAACTAGCAGAAAAATCTGGTAACAGTTTTTTGAGAACAAACCACATTGTTAGAACATGAAACTTGATCATGACTGACTCTAGTTTAGCAATTTCATGTTGACCCTGCCAGACCCGGTCTGGCTCCTGTAGAGCCACTGCGTCTGCAGTAACCTTAGGTTGGAGGCAGTGACAGACTTAAGCTGGCACTTGTTGAAAGTTTGTTTGTTTGATCTTTGCAAGGGAGGGAGGTGTTACACGGCTTAATTTTCTACTGGTTTAACTCCTTGTACCAATGTGGTCTTCAAGGATCACAGAAGCACAAGGGAAAG